ATCCTATCCTACAGAACAATAAAATAAGCAGTGAAACTTTTAGCATTTCCAGTGAAACTAGACTGGTCAAATACTGACATAGAATTCAATACTACCGGTGGGAATCCCCTGGAAGTATGAGTTTGTTTTTATGACATTACATTTTCTGTAAAAACCTGCAGTACTTTGCAAAAGTAAATACTTCCTGTCACTTTGGTATTACTTGAACTTCTATAACAGTCTTTACAATCAACTTTAGAGAAAACAGATCTTTTAACTCTTTCACTGACTCCACACTAATATCACCAAGGTTACTACATTTAGGAAAGCCTAATGCTGTTATTTCATAAGTATATATGCAGTGGGCTAGTTTATAAATGAATGTAGTTTGAGTAATCAATCATTCCAGCACTTATGGATCAAGTACTCAAGTCCTCACTGAGTAAATCTCCAATGAAATAAATGACCTCATCTAACGGGGAAATTCTCAGAAGCTACCAAAACTTTGACATTTGTAAAATGACTATCTACAAATGGAAACCTAACATATTCTACAGAGCTGCTGACTCCATTATATATGGAAAGTATGTAGCAAGAGGTTATGGTTGAAATGAAGGACAGTCTGTAGACAGTCTACAGTGGCTGACTGGCAGTTTGAGAGTCTGTGGAGCCGCTACAGGAAATGCATGATTTGGGGTTGGTATAAGAATATTTCTAGTAATGAGGCTGCTTGGGAACAAAGCTGGTTTGTCTGAATATCCAACGCACTGTTTTATACTAATATATTTTAGATGTTGTAGCAGTCCTTGGTATATTACACATTTTCAGTAGCAACCTGAAGGGGTATTTAATCAAGGGGAGCGGGGCAGGTTAGTTACTATGGTTGACATTTATTCACTGTCTCCTGTCTCCAAATCCAGGGAGAAAGTTATTTTTTAAAAACAAAATACCTGTTTTCATATTAACCTATTCATTAACAGTTTTCAAGTACATAAAAGGCTGTTACAAGGAGGAAGAGGGAGAAAAATTGCAGCAAGGGCAGTTTAGGTTGGACATTAGGAAAAACTTCCTAACTGTCAGAGTGGTTAAGCACTGGAATAAATTGCCTAGGGAGGTTGTGGAATCTCCATCATTGGGGATTTTTAAGAGCAAGACAAACACCTGTCAGGGATGGTCTAGATAATTAGTCCTGCCATGAGTGCAGGGGACTGGACTAGATGACCTCTCGAGGTCCCTTACAGTTCTATGGTTCTATGATTAAAAATGGTAATGTCCTTTGTGTTTAGTGCTACCACTAGGAGTCCATCACACTGTTACATAGCCCCTATTGGCTTGTTTAGGTGTTTGTTTCTCCCGTTATCCTGAAGAGATTTCTTCAGCATGGATTTGATGGAGGGAAGACTGTGTTATGTTTCCATGATGCTCTGCTGTGTCAGGGATGATGACTGGAGTTTGAAGGATTAAATGTGGCCTTAGATGAAGCAACAAGAAGGCTTTGCCAATAAATGAATGTGGCTGATTCTAGAAGGGCTCCTATATGGTTATATCTATACAACTTTTTAATTCTGTCTATTTACCTACATAAATTGGGTCAGCAATGAACTACTAATGTGGGTCTTATGTCTGATATTCAGAACTATGCACTTACCTTGCTTGTAAAGTGCTCTGTGCTCCATGGGCAAAAGTGCTATGTAAGAGCTCATTACTAATTATTACTGCTAGCACATCCCACCAATTTGACAAGGCCAATGGAAAATCTAACATATGATAAATATTCTTGAACAAATACCAGTGGACCCGGACAGCCTCAAAAATGGATTATTTCATCTAATTACAGTTTATTAACATCTGAGATGAACACTGATGTGTTTATAAAACCTAAGTAGACACAGATGTTTATTGATAAAGGAACATTTCACAAAGGAGAGAGGAAGATGTTTTTGCCCTCAGATATGATTCAAGGACAAATTCTGCCTTCAAATGCACCCAAGCAAAGGATGCATTTATCTAAAATCTACAGATGTGAAAAATTAATGTGATGCTACAGAAAAAAGCACAGCGAGGTACTCTCACCCACAAGTAAAAGTCTAAAGCACTACCTGAAGTCCACTAATGCCTTAGTAGTCTTTCTAAAGTACAGCAACATTATGTCATTTAAAATACGCAACAATTGTCAGTAAAGTGGTGCACAAGTAGTAAAATATCCATTTCTAGCCAGAAATGGATGAGCACCAAGCTGTTCAGAAACAGCCAATCTTTCCTAAACATTTTGACCCTTCGCTACTGACCAAATCATTATCCCACCATTACTAAAAATCTGTAACTACTTACAAGGGAGAGCACACAATAGGCTCTCAATAGCTAACAATACTTATTACTTATGCTACTTTAAAGTTAAGGACTGACCTATAATTTGTTCTACATCAACCCAGTTCTTTTTCTTTCTCTATTTTTGATGTGCTGAAGGACCCATGCTTTTTCAACGCTGTACCAAATCAATTTACTTCTTTTCCTAATAAACTTACTTTTATATTATAACCCTTTTGTTTATTAGATCATTTCCATCTGGCATTTAAGACGAATATAAAAACATGGTATAATTTCACTTATAGAAATTATTACATTAAATCTCAAATAACTAATAAGAGCTGTAGAGATGCTAGTGAAAATATAATACATAAAAGAACAGCAGAAATTACTCTGATAAAAACATTTTAGAAAACAAACAAACAGTTATCAAGATGCGCTACCTGCAAAAAAAATCCATCACTTGTTTAAAAGAATAGACATAATTTCACATCATAAATTTAGATTGTTTTTCATCCAGTGAAACAGCTCTAAAGAGAAACATTTGAAGAGCACCAATATAACATCAGATGTGCAAAGAATAGTTTTGAAATTGTTTATATTTATACCCAGGCACAAATGTGCTCATGTTATGTGGACGATTGTATTATATTATTATAATTTTAGGCCTACCACGACGTATGATTCTAGCATTTGTCTCTCTACCTTTTATTTGTTTTGGTTTACTGTAGCTTTCAGCTTTTCAGCATCAAGCTATTTTTTTTTTTTGGTTAATCTGCAATTTTAGACCCAGCTGAGACTAGGTATTTTCAAGCAAATGCATAAGCTTCAAATGGCTTCAAGGAGCCATGACTAGCGAGAGCTCAGGTAGATAACTCCAGCTTTGTTCCACATGTCGAAGTCACACTGATGTCAATGAGAGTTTCACATATGGATCAAGCACTGAATATGGCTTATCGATACCTATTCTCTTCCACTACGTGGGACTTTTATGCCAGTAATACCCTTTAGTGCAGTGGGGGACAAACTACACTACAATCCCTCCTGAAGACCCACTTCTTCAACAAATAAGTAGACACACATAAGACAAGATGCTCCAGACACCCAAAAGGAGGAGTTAAAACATTCTAAATTGTAAAGCTTATTATATTTTTTAATTTCAGTCCCCCCTTAAAAAAATGATGGAGAAAATATTTTACTGAGGGAAGCTAGTGCCTGTAGGTCTAGCGGTAAAAGTCAGTCTTTTGAAGTGATTATGTCTGAGGAGCCAATAAGAACCTGACCTGTTCTCCCACAGTGCAATATTTGTAGCCACTACGAAAAGCAGAAATACTGAGAGGCAGAAGGAACCTGGAAATGCCAGAAGCCTAATGTTATTTCTTTGTGCAGAGCTGGGGTGAGTAGGAGGGACTGCAGGATACACAGTATGAAATAACTAACAGAATGCATATTACTAGTTTATAGACAGAACATAAACGCACCCATATTAAAAAGGCAAGAGATTTCACTCACCCTCTCAGAAGTTTGAAAAGCATACAGCCTAAAGAGAACCAGTCTGCGCTGCTATCGTATGCTGTTCCTTTCTGGAGCACCTCAGGAGCCATGTATCCGTGGGTACCACTGGCGGAAACGGGGGAGGAGGGAGAGATAGGGGAGGGAGGTCAACAGAATCTTGAGTACAAAACAAAATTAACCTCTTAAGAAATCATGCACTATCCCAACAAGAAAGTCTACCTAGAACAGGGTGACTTCTCACAGTCATTTTAAATTGAAGTCACTTTGGCCACACTTACACCCTTTTGGATTTCCATTTTCTGTTAAGCCATGGAGGCACAAGCTCTGGCCCTGATGAGAGTTAGGACAGGTGGAGGCTGCTGTAACTCACGATGCAGGTCTATGACTGGTGAAACTGAGCTCTGCCCCACCATACCCCCTCCACACTCCAGTTCTCTCACATACCTCCCCGATACCAGGATAACGGACGAGGGCAGCTGGCACGGAAGCTCTACCCACCAGCTTTAGACCAGCAGAAAATTCACCTACTTCAGGGGAACTCCCTCCTTGTCACTCACAGCCAGAATTTGGCCCCAGTGTGCTGCCTATGTCCTATATATGATTCCAATCTGTAACTTTTTCCTGGACTTTAGTGAATGGCCAATCATTTTAAACATGAGGGACCAAATTCATCCTTTGTGCAAATCCACTGTAGTCATACCAGGGATGAATCTAGCCCTAAGAGTACAGAGTGCCACAAAAAATATGATAACTGCCCCCACACACACAAAAATCAGAGTTCAATTACACCTCTGTAATTCCACTGAAGCCAGTGGGTGCAAATGGGATCACAATTTGGCCCAAACAACACTAGCAAAAATATGGACACACATATATAACAGCACAATAAATCCTGAATTTTAGTTCATTTCCGAAAGGCCACCACTTTGGATAATTAAAACAATCTGGTGCTTCAAATCAAGCAGAGTTCTTATTTACTCTGAACATTGAATCATCACGAAATCATGGGTCATCTTCCAGTCTATGCCTACACATCAGCTGTTACAACTGCACAGGATGTTAGAAATTAGAGATGGAAGAGAATTAATAGGTCATCTAGTCTCTCTCCCAGCCAAAGCAGGATTGCTCCCTACAGAACATTTTCTAGAGCTTTCAGTGTCCAAAGCAACAGGGCTTCCACCTCTTCCCCGGGAAGACTACTGTTCAGTCTAATAGAGCTTACTAGGAGAAAGTTGATCTCTATATTCAGTCATATTTTTTCCTCGTTTTAACTCATTACGCCTAGTTTGTACCACCCAAATAATTCTTTTCCAGCCCTTCTTTCTTAAGCCTTTCAAAATATATGTAGGCTATGAAACCCTCATTTATTGTGTTATTTGTAAAACTATTATGTTCCTCTTTTCTACCACTTTGCCAAGCTGTACAAATTTAGCTCTTTTAATCTTTCTACCTAAATCAGTCTCTCCTGCCTCAGATCAAGTCTATTGCTTGCCTCTGAATTCCATCCATTTTGTCAATATCTCTCTAGCATTCTATATGAACCTTCTCTTGCAATACCTTCAAAGAACACAAATGCAGTTTTTGGCTTCATACACAGATACATCAAGTAACAGAGCAGAAAAGCAACTGTCCTCTGATAGTCCAAGATAAATCAAAGATTCAAAATGTGTGTCCCACTGCTCAAACTCCTGTATACTTAATAACTGTCCCAGAGCCCAAATGTCAATACATGAAATACCGTAATTTTGATAACCTGTCACTCTCATCTGTCCAAATTCTGACCAAAGAAATACCTTTATATTGTAATTACTATAACCCTCAGAGTGTTTTCTTATAGATGCATGAACTGCCATCACACCCATGGCACTAAATACAAAATTAATATGAAAAATAAGTTTAAAAGGTTACCCATTGAAATCAATAAGGATACATGGGCATGTACATAGCTGCTTTAAAAAGGCACACTCAAGTACATGATCTATTTCAAGATGGTGACCTGCACGCTAGCAGAAACCAGTGTTCCTAAGCACTCTTGTGATTTCCTTTCAATAGCAAAGTTCTCTGGGAGAGAAAATGAGCAGTTTAAAAGACAAAAATATATAAGATTAAGAATAGAGGTTTAGCAACGTGAAATCAAACTTAAAACAGGGCAAAGGATTTGTAGTTCGTATAACTAAATATATCAGCGTTCATGCAATACTTACACACTAGCATGTGGTTTCTTTTTGGAAAAATCACAAGCAAGACCAAGGTCTGATATCCTTACGTGTCCGTGCTCATCCAACAGGATGTTTGCAGGCTAGAAGCACACAAAGAGAGAAGTGTTACTGGCAACTGAAAAATACAAGCCTTTGATCACTAGGACAATTTCACAAAGCAACAAACCTGACTTCTATGCACCTCTAGTCTATGACCATTTCTGTTGTTACTAACTCTATACAAAATTAAGTACCAAGCAGTTTTGTACAATCAAGGCATGATTATACATGAGTTTGGGTTGGCCTTTATACTGTACCAACATTCTACGAAAAAGGAAAACCTCAAAGGTTACACAAGGCAAGAAAACAAACCAGGTTTGAAACATGAGGCTGTTATGGTGTGTCTACTCCCCCTCCCCATAGCCTGATGAGGTAAAATAGGCCAATTAACCTTACAGGCTGCATCTGAGGGAGAGCCAGGGACTGATACGGCCTAATGGCTAATGAAGCCCAGCCAGGGGAGGATCTGGGATTATAGAGAGGTAGTTGGTGGTAAGAGAAAGGCTGCAGGGAGGAGCTCTGAAGTTCCCACCTAGAGTGGAGGTGATTTGACTAGGTACAAGGAGGTGTTATAGGGGGGAAAGTAAGTCCTGGGATCCTAAGTTGGACAACAGACTGTGGCAAGAAGCCGAGAGGGGTGAAAGCCATGGGGACTGGAGGAAGCTCCAGTGGAAACCAAGAGGTAAGCCAGAAGACAGAGAAGAGAGACAGGAAAGAGCACAAGGAAACAGCAACAAGGTCAGAATTTGAACAGACTGAGCACAGAGTCCCTAGACTGGAACCTGGAGTAGTAGACGGGCCCAGGTTCCCCTATTGGCCACAGGGAAAGAGGCACAGACTTGGAAGACTGTCTGAGACTGCAGGTAGACAGTATGTCCAATCGGACTTTGATTCCCTGGAAGGGGTGTACTAGAGTGACCTGGCCATAGGGCTGAGTCACGAAAAGGAAGCATCCTAAATCCAGAGAGAGAGATACCATGGGGCAAGCAATCGAAGGAGGGGGCACCAGACCAGGTGAGTGCTGATCCCCACTCTCAGCCATGAGGCGACCCCCCAGTGGTGAGTGAGACCCATTAGAGAAGTACATGACAGAATTAAAACTAACTTGACTTGAAGATGTGGATTTCGCATTCCATTTGGGCCCTGCACAGACGTGCCCATGCCTACATCTTCTGTCCCCCTACTTCCATACCTGCACTCTACATTTTTCAGTCTCTATACAGTACATCTTGTCACTCCTTTTGGTCTTTTTGTCTCACTTCCTTCAGCCTTGTGGTTGTTAATGAGACACGCCCTCAAGACCCACTCCTCCCCATCAGCCTTCCATTGCTTACCTCCCCCTCTCGTTGTTCCCACAAACTAATACATTCACTACGTGAACATAATCATTAATATAGGTTGAAAGGTGAACATGATGGACAGGATTTATTGCCAAGTAACCAGGGAAAGATTTTCTTGAGTTATTTAATCTGATTAATAAAATTTACAGCCAACATTTAAACCAAACTAAATTGTACTGAGTCTTAATTCATCTATATTAACTTTCACTTTATTTGGTTAACAGTATTAATATTGGTATGAAACTACATCACTTCCATAGCTGTTTTCTTCTGAAGCAGTAAACAGCATTTGATTGCGAAGTTATCTGCAAAGCACTGCTAAACAGTGGGTACTGCAGTGGATATTGAGTCATCTACAAAGCTTTTCCATCTGAAAGGATTTCTTTTATGCAGTGTTGTTGTAACTGTGTTGGTCCCAGGATATTAGAGAGACAAGGTGGGTGAGGTAATATCTTTTATTGGATCAACTTCTGTTGGTGAGCACAAAAAGCTTTCAAGCTTACACAGAGCTATTCTTCAGTTGGTCCAATAAAAAAGATATTACCTCACCCACCTTGTCTCTCTAGGGTTTCTTTTGTCCAGGAGAACATCCCAATTGGCAATTTTAAATACAGTCTTTAGAACATGTAGTATTAGCAAGTTCCAGATACAACAGTGATGGAGGCCATCAGAGTACCTAAATAGATTAGATAGAAACAAGTTAGCAGCAGGAAGTAGAAGAAATAATTTTTCAACTTTTTAGGGGTGGTGAGGAAGTTTTAGAAAACTCTTAGTACAGGGTCTCCAAAAACTGCTAGTGTTTTATGAGTGAAGACCTCACAGACCAGAACTGGCTGAATTCAAGGGGAGCCTTCTACTATTCCAATTTGATAATAAGTATTATCTATCTTGCTATTTAGGGTTTGCCAACACTGGTAACATTCTGTTTTGCAGGAACCCAGATGGAAACTTGGTAATTTTGTTTCCTTTTTATGAGAATTCCTGTGGGCCTCAGAAACTTGTGGAACCTGGGATCTCTATGGTCCAAAAAGAATGTATGTACATGTTACAGAAAGAGTAAAATACAAAACACAAGGATGTTAACCTCTTTCTCTGTCTAATACTTTGAAAGACAATGAGGAGTTGTGCCTGTCAGAAGGGTTTACCCTTAAAAGGCTATTTCTCTTCTATGTAGCCAGCTACTCATTTTCCAGCAAAACGTTTTGAAAACAGTAAGATTCAGAATTAGAATTAAAATATACAAGTCTTCAAATGGGAAGGACAATAGGTCACCTGATCCATGAAATGCTAATGCAGCGGGAACCTCTTCTTTTCTGCATGTATTCTCTCATGAAATTATTCCTTAAATACACCTCATATTGAGCTTTAACTCCCTTACATTATCAGCTCCCACAAGATCACTGGATCCCCTATACTACATATTAATAAACCTCTGGGTGAAAAAGACACCAGAAAGAACTAACCTATTACTCTCTTTTCTTAACTATTAATTAAATCCCAGGTTACAACTTTAAGGTGAAATTCACTCCAGGGTGCAAAGACAAGGGCCTAAAGTCTTAAGTAATGCCTAGGGCATTCTGCTGATCCTCTGCCTTCTCAAACTGTAAATAGGCTATTTTAGATCCCACTGTATCCCCTTAAGACGTGTTTATACTATGAGCTGGTATTCAGGCAATTCCCCAGCTCCCCTCCCCCAACACACAAACATATTCCCTCAAGGCTGACCATTAGAGCCCTGCAAATCTGTGGATATCCGCTTTATATCATGTTAGCAGATCGCTGATTGGATGCAGATACAAATTTTGTATCCGTGCAGGGCTCTACTGACCATGTGCCTTTCTTCTTGCGATTTCCCTTCTTTTCCTTTCTATCAGAAGTTCTTATATGGTTGATACCTAACAGAAACTTACTCTTCATTGTAATGCATTATAATCATTTATGTGAAACAGTTTTTAGAAAATTCAAAACAAACTTTGAAAGAAGTAATCAGCATTCTCCCAACATTTGGTGACAGAAATGATTCTGGATACAAAAAGGGTTTTCATTCAGTTTCTTATATTCCCTAGGTTTAGGGTTACCACATTTGAACATTGATAAAAGAGGACACTCCACGAGCCCCCGGCCCCACCCCAACTCCACCCCTTCCCCGCCCGCATTCCAACCCCTTCCCCAAAGTCCCCGGCCCCAACTCTGCCCCTTCCCCGCCCCCATTCCAACCCCTACCCCAAATCCCTGCACCGGCCCCGCCTCCTCCCCTGAGCACGCCACATTCCCCCTCCCTCCCAGCCACCCGAAAGAGCCGCCTCCTCCCCAGGCTCCAACTTTCCCGGCTCTCGCCACTCTCCAGCCCGTGCACCCCCGGCCAGGAGCTTCCCCTGCGCAGCAGCAGCCAGAGCCGGGGGGGCGGGAAGTTGCTTTGGGCCCCGGTCCTGCCCCAGAGCTGGTCACCCCAGCCCCAACACACTCCCACCTGCGAGGCTGCATTCCAGCTGTGGGCTCCCTCTCTGGCCGGGCTGGAGCAGAGAAGTGCTGTGTGCGTGGCCTGGGCCTTGCCCCCAGGCTCAGGGGGGCCTCCACTCCGCTCCCAGCCGGACCTGGCGAGGCTGCGGCAGCTCAGACCGGGCTGCTGCAGGAGATGGGCTCCTCGGGGCGGGGGAGCAGAGGGGGGGGGCTCCTTGCACAGCCAGGGCGGAGGGGGAAGACTGAGGCTCTGCCAGAACCGCGGGGGATGCTCGGAGGAGGGAGAAGCGGCCGCAGGTCCCCCCCACCCGCAGCTGGCTGCAGAGACATCACCGCTCCTAGCCATGGGGCGCGGGGTTGCAGCAGCACTGGGGGGAGGGGAGGGGAGGCTGCAATCCGCAGGCTGCAGCGAGCTGACACCCCAAGAGGAGAGAGGGGCAGTGGGTAGGGTTATCATACCTCCGTATTTTCCGGACATTTTTATATATTTAAAAAATCCTCCCGGACTGCAATTAACAACTAAAAAGCCAGACATGTCTGGGAAAATACAGACATATGGTAACCCTACTTAGGTTGTTCATCACCACCCTATAACTGGCTGTGTAAATAAAAGGGTTACCTTCAAGTCTCTGTATACAACAAATCGATTGTGCATGTGTTCTAAGCCCAGGATGATTTCAGTAGCATAAAACCTCATCTCCTTCTCAGAAAACACCCCGTGCTGTGAGAGATGGTAGTGCAAATCTCCTCCTAGAATTAGAAAAATTGGGATGTAATTCATTGGGAATAGTAAAGTCCTGTTACATTGGCAGGTGGAAAGCTGTACTATACAGAGCTATGTAAGGAGGAAGATAAAAGTCTACTAATTTGTAGTTCCGTCGACTTGTGTGACAGGAAGGAGCTTGGATTCACATACTTAGGCACTTGCAGGGGATGCTTTCATGCATTTGAGCGTACACGTTGGCAATACTCCAAGAAATTAATAAAGCCGAGTAGATACTCTACAAATAATCAGCAAATATCACTTCATTTTAAACATGAATTCATATCACCCGTTTACTCCTCTTTAGTGACTGCTTTTAGTGACCACTCCAGAAATTAAGTGTCACTTGCAGTGAATTTCCAAGTCACATATGTGGGTTTGCAAAGAAATTCAATTCTCTATTTGCACATGGAAATATTCATGCTGGAAGTGCTTGCACATTCGTCTAGTCAGGGAACACAAGGTGACTTATCTAACTAATCACAACTACAAGAGGTTGAATATTTGTATAGAACTGTTCATGATCAAACTACAGATTTAAAATAATGAGCCATAACTATTTTCACGGAATCATAGATTGCAAGGCCAGAAGGGCCAACTGTGATCATCTAGAATGACCTCCTGTATAACATAGGCCAGAGAACTGTCCCAAAATAATGTTTAGGACAATCTGAATAATCAACTACCATTCTGACTTCAATGAGATTACTCATATGCATACAGTTACAGACATTCTTAATTGTCTACATGATCTGATCCTTAAATTACAGAGCAACGCGCCAGGGTGCACCCTAGCAACTGAAGGCATCTCACTGCCGAATCAGGGTCAAAAAGCAGTCCCCCAAACTGCTAAGGAACGTCAGATTTAAAATAATGAGCCATAACTATTGTCACGGAATCATAGATTGCAAGGTCAGAAGGGCCAACTGTGATCATCTAGAATGACTAGACCACTAACTTGCAAGATCTTCTGCCTTGGACACTGTGGATCCCTTTCTCTGTGTCTCAACTTCACCTTTATTCTAAGGCTTCCATGACTTTGCTTTCCTCATTCTCCTCCTGCTTTCTTGACAGTTCCTTCATTATTTTCTTGGGTGCCTCTCCATGTTCTCGGTTGTCATCCTTGAGTTCTACATCCAACCTTCCTGCATGCTATCTCAAGGAGACCTTATCAACTGCCACCTTTATTTCCAGAATTTCCCAACCTACCTCCCCCTTTTCTCTCCTCTTGTATCTATGGCTGCCTCTCAGATCCTAAAGTGATCTAAATTAGACATTTTCAATCTCTTTCTAAACCTTTTCCATTTCTTCCCTTCTATTTCTCCACTGTCCTCCCATTTCTCACAGGCTCACAATCTCAGTATTTTCTCTGGCTCTTCACCTTCCTTCCTCCCCTCTTCTACCAAGCTCTCCGTGAGCCCCGTCGCATCCTTCACCGTTACCAGAATGGTTCCTTTCATTAGCTTTGCTTACCATTCATCAGGTCCAGGATGAAGCAGAGTTTGTCAGGGGTGTGGAAGGCATAGGTCATACACACTATAAAAGGGCAGTCCTGTAAAGGAAATCAATGAAGAGTTTACCTCACATGATATGCAGTGCCCTTGTTACATTAAGATATCTTCTAAAATGATTTCTGTTTTCTATCAATACACTTTGATGTACTCCATATGCAGTTTGGCAAATGCTAATATTTTCTTGTTTTCAAAATAAATATACAAAATGAATATAGGAAATCAAACACTGCAACTAGTGACACGATTCTCTTCTGAAGATTTGCAACCCCAAGAAGCACTCTCCCAGAACATGTTCCAACATTTCTACAGAAGGAGGAAGTGTGACCTACGTTCCCACTAGACTTATAATTACAAAAAATATGTGAAAGCTCACAAGCTATGCAAGAGCCTAGGAAGTAACCAGTAGGGTTCCTTGGGGAATGGAAAAGAAAGGTGGGAGACAGGAATACTGTTTAGCCAATTGAAACAGAGGAGAGACTAAATCATTTGAATGAATTCATATGGGAAATTCTGATAATTAGAACAGGTAATTTTATCCTTACCTGCAAATTAAGTTTCTATAAATTGATGAAATTCAATCCAGTCAGCTGGGCTGCTCTGACAGTCATAAAAAGCAGGCAATTTAGAATTTTGGTGCCCTCTGGTGGTCACGTAAAACTTCCCTCAGCTCCCCAGTTGCCTTACAACAACTAGGAACTAGGTCGATTAATCACAGTTAACTCAAAAAAATTAATCGCGATTAATCGCAGTTTTAATTGCATTGTTAAACAATAGAATACCAACTGAAATGTATTAAATGTTTTGGATGTTTTCCTACATTTTCATATATATTGTATTCTGTGTTGTAATTGAAATCAAAGTGTATCTTATTTTTTTATTACAAATATTTGCACTGTAAACAAAAGAAATAGTATTTTTCAATTCACCTCATACAAGTACTGTAGGGCAATCTCTTTGTTGTGAAAGTGCAACTTACAAATGTAGAATTTTTGTTACATAACTCAAAAACAAACCAATGTAAAACTTCAGAGCCTACGAGTCCACTCAGTCCTACTTCTTGTTCAGCCAATCGCTAAGATAAACAAGTCTGTTTACGTTTACACAAGATAATGTTTCCCTCTTCTTATTTACAATGTCACCAGAAAGTGAGAACAGGCATTTGCATGGCACTTTTGTAGCTGGCATCACAAGGTATTTACGTGCCAGAGATGCTAAACATTTGTATGCCCCTTCATGCTTCAGCCACCATTCTAGAGGACATGCTTCCACGCTGATGACGCTCATTAAAAAAATAATGCATGAATTAAATTTGTGACTGAACTCCTTGGGGAAGAATTGTATGTCCCCCGCTCTGTTTTACCCACATTCTGCCATATATTTCATGTTATAGCAGTCTTGGATGATGACCCAGAACACTTTCACTGCAGATTTGACAAAACGCAAAGAAGGTTCCAATGTGAGATTTCTAAAGATAGCTACAGCACTCGACCCAAGGTTTAAGAATCTGAAGTGCCTTCCAAAATCTGATCGGGATGGGGTGTGGAGCATACTTTCAGAAGTCTTAAAAGAGCAACACTCTGATGCGGAAACTACAGAACCCGAACCACCGAAAAAGAAAATCTTCTGCTGGTGGCATCTGACTTAGATTATGAAAATGAACATGCGTCGGTCCGCACTGCTTTGGATTGTTATCGAGCAGAACCCGTCATCAGCATGGATGCATGCCCCCTGGAATGGTGGTTGATGAATGAAGGGACATATGAATCTTTAGCACATTTGGCACGTAAATATCTTGCGACGCCGGTTACAACAGTGCTGTGAGAACGCCTGTTCTCACTTTCAGGTGACATTCTAAACAAGAAGCAGGCAGCATTTTCTTCTGAAAATGTAAACAAACTTGTTTGTCTGAGTGATTAGCTGAACAAGAAGTAGGACTGAGTGGACTTGCAGGCTCTAAAATTTCACATTGTTTTATTTTTGAATGCAGTTTTTTATTTTACATAATTCTACATCTGTAAGTTCAATTTTCATGATAAAGAGATTGCACTACATTACTTATATTAGGTGAATTGAAAAATACTATTTCTTTTGGGGGTTTTTACAGTGCAAATACTTGTAATCAAAAATAAATATAAAGTGAGAACTGTACACTTTGTATTCTGTGTTGTAATTAAAATCAATATATTTGAAAATGTAATAAGATAAGCTACAATTGAATGTAGTTTGTTCTTATTAGAACAGGAAAGTTAAGGGAGGGAATGGTGTTTTAACACAAACCTGAGGGACCACTGACCTAGTACCTATTCTGTCTGGATGACAATTTGCTATCTTTTTAGTAGAAAATCTACTATTGTGAAACAAAGAACAATTTTAACAGGTTTTTTGTACAAGCTCTTCTTCAACTCAAATACTGGGCATGGTTTTCTGACTTATAAAACTTTTCACTTTCATAGCACCTGTTAAAGATCTCAGAGCACTTTTTAAACCTTCAGATTCAGAAAACCTCTGTGAGGTACAGTATTATCCCCATTTTACAGATGAGAAAAAACAAGGCACCAAGATGTATTAAGAATTGACTTCCTCAGGTCATGCAGATAGTGAGTGGCAATGCAAATAATAAAAGGAGTTAAAGTGACTGATGCACAGTCCTGTGTTTTCTCTCTCTAGACCAGGAATCCACTCTGTACCTGACTGCCTTTACTTAATAAAGGTTTTGGATTTACAGGTAAAGAGATTCTAAGATGAACTTCCAGCTCCACAATTTATCCGTGTACCACATATGTCCTATCCACCAGGAAAGACAAGTGCTGCTCAAGGTAATTAATGTTCCAATCACAGAGTCCCTTATGAATGACCTTATCCTACCATTTTCAAAACAAGCGCAGTTAATTTTGTGCGCTCAGAATGCCCTAATACCTACAAGAATTAATTTTTTCTCTCCTCTTCTGACTTTAACCTAGCAAATTATGTCAAACACTTGTTCTGTGTTGGTCGGGCAGGGAGAGAATAGCAAAGCAAGGCACAATATTTTTTCCTGCATTAACCTTCTCAATTACAAGGGAAAGTGTGTAGCAAATTTACAGAACTCTTCCTAGGAACTGAAAGGAAGCTACCTTACAGAAACTGTTGCTAATCCTTAATAGAAAAAGTGAACTTTCATTAGCCTCTCATCTAAGGAGGTACATGGATTTTTTTGTCATATCAGAGCATTAGATCCTATCGTTAGCAGTTTTGTGGAAAATTTTCTTTTTGAAGACGTGGCTCTGAGAAAACTTAATCGACATTCAGAATCGAAGCCATAGATTCACAGATTTAAGGCCGGATAAGATCATTATGATCATCTAGTCTGATCTCCTGCATAACAGACCATAGAATTTTACCCGTGATTCCTGCATCAACCACAAACGTTCGGGCTGAGCTAGAGCATACCCTTCAGAAAAATAACCAACTTGATTAAAAACGGCAGGTGATGGAGACTCCACCACGTCACCTGGTAAATGTGCCAAAGGATAATTATTCTCCATGATAAAACAACTGAGCATTATTTCAAGTCATAATTTTCTAGCTCTAACTTCAAACCACATGTTGATTCCGTTCAGTGGTAAGGGAAAGGCATTACCCCTTAGAGTCAATGACTGCCTCCCTCTCTCAAAACGGAGGCAAGAGAAGGAGTATGACTTCCTTAGATACAACGCACTAGAGAGGTGCAAACCATTCTGCTTTGAGAGGACCCAACTTACGGAGGCAACTGGCCCCAAGAAGAAACTCAATTCCAAGATGAGCATCTTCCTGCAAAACTTCAACGTTTATTTTTTTTATCTGAGATTTTACTTTGCCTGAAAAGTTCTGACAGATGAGAAAAACAGTGACTTGTAAGCCAAAGCAGATGGGAGAGCTGAAAAGATATCACTTGATCACCAGAGGGCAATGAAATTCTGATCTGCCTCATTGTTCTGCCCACTCAGCTGTTCACAGTGAGATTAAACAATGTGGAAAAATAAAGTCAAAGCCATACAATTTTGTTTAAGGGCTAGTCTTCACTAGCAACGTTAAAGTGTTGCCGTGGCAGCACTTTAACATGGCTGTGTAATCGCGGCACCAGTGCTAAAAAACCCACCTCCATGCGGGGAGTAGCTCCCAGTGCGGGGAGCGCAGCTCCCAGTGCTAGTGCACGGTCTACGCTGCCACTTTACAGCGCTGAAACTTGCAGAGCTCTAGGGGGTGTTTTTTCACACCCCGAGCGAGAAAGCTGCAGCGCTGTAAAGTGGCAGTGTAGACAAGGCCTAAGAGTGAATGACCAATATTCAGTACAATTCTTACATTTATCAAGCTCATAAAAATGTAGATTTTAACATATTAAAACAAACCTTGCTCAAGACAAAGGACCACTGTACCATGGAATGTATTAATTGAACCAGATTATCCTTCTCTTGTGCCCCATACAAACATGGTGCAAGGACTGTTCATAGGAACATGGGGGGCTGCACAAAAGTTTGAGATAAAATGTCAAGACGTGCTCTAAAAACTCTCTTGTCTATTTATGGGGGTAAATGTAAAAGGTTTTAGAAAACATCTTTGGGAGGACTAAGACATTTAAAATCCTGTACTGAAAATATCTTTGTATCATGTAAGGACCCGGTCAGGGATCAACCATGCTAAGTACTACACAGACCCATAACAAAAAGTTGATCCCTGCCCCAAAGAGCAGATGAAAAAGAGGCGAATACATCGTTCCAGCTGGGGGGACACGAGGTAACAGTGACACGATAAAGCAGCAGTTACAGCACATTATTTGCCCGGTCATTTTTGCTGCTCATGTGATTAAAACACACACGAAATGAAGGGTACAGAGAGGAACCCGGAAGAGTGCCAAAAATCTGTATGGAGATATTCAATGTGAAACGTAAACTCTTCCCAGCCAAGTGTGCTTTGCTGGCTGGCACCTCGGCCTCTGCTGCAACAGCTGCATCTATTTTGGACAAGAGAGAGTCGGCCTTCTGGAACGTGTAAAAACACATGGCTCATATATGTGCCTCTATCCAATGCTGGGAGTTCCACTCTGCCCTGAGAACATCTCCTTGAGCTAGGTTCAGAGGGAGACCAGCCCTTTAGTCCAGGCATTAGGTTTCTGACTCAAATCCTAGGAAGAAATTGTGTTTTTAGTTACTAAACCAAAATAGTCAGAAAACGACATCTCCCCCATCAACTGGGTTAGAGTCTTCAAGGTCATATGGTCAGGAGCGCTTGCACTGCCACAGAAGAAGATAGCAGAGAGAAAGATGACAAGAAGCTGCTTTTGCTTTTTAGGGCTCCCCCCTTGAACTGGACCGATTTTCTCTTTTTTGCATTTATTCCCGAGTACCACCCTGCCTGCGGAGGCTACCCCGTGCTGCTGCCCATGCTACTGCAGCTACACTACTATTGTTAGCACAAGTCTGCCTGAGGTAGACTGGCGCTCCTATCTGTGCCTCTCAGCAGTATCTATCACTGGTTTTGCCTGTGCTTATAGGGCAATGTGATGGCTCTCTCTCTCTGAGCCAAACAATGCCTCAAAATCAGGTGCCTGCGAGCAAGCTGTACTTCCTAAACCAGAGACCCATTTTGCATCTTGTAAATTTCCTTGATGTGAGCAGCCCTATTGTGGGGACAGTTCTTTGGGTTCTCTGAAGACTCAGGGTGAGGAAGAAAAACAGGAGCAGGAATAAATATATAGGACATGTGGAATTAATTTGCTACAGAAACGCCAACAATAGAGATAACAGAGACTTTTAGCCTGGAAAAAGAAGGGCCTTCAACTCGAAGACGAATGACGCTGGGTGGTGAAAGTCGTGAGGAAGCCACTAAGCCGATTACCCTTCTTGCAACTAGGAGGATTACCATCGGTATATGGAACGTGAGGACCATGTACGAGTCAAGAAAGACGGCGCAGGTCGCAGCAAGATGGACGCAAGCTGGACAAGCGGAAAAGAGGCCGTCCAAGAAACACCTGGCGATGCGACCTTCAGGCTGATAGCATAAAAATGGGCTATACCTGGAACCAGCTAGAGCAAATGGCCCAGGATAGCGGACTCTGGAGATCTGTGGTTGGTGGCCCATACCCCGATTGGGGTGACGGGCATTAGTGAGTGAGTGAGTGGAATGAAGGCATGTGGAGAGAAAGGGATTGTCGCTTAGAGAAATATACCCTCCACCCCACCAAATCACCACCACAGGCTGCAGAGACAAGAGAGAGAAACAATTTGAAGAGCCTTCAAGCTGCTGGTGGGAGGCAGAGCATGCGGATGCTCTGTTACATGAGTGGATTCCATGGCTGAGAGCCCAGGTGCCACATGGTCCACATGCACAAGCACAGACCATTGGGGAGGACAGCCGGTGTGCATTTAAAAGAAAAATTACCATTAAGCATGTCACAATAACAAGGTTCAACAAGAAATGAATCCTCATTAAACATTTCTGAGAATGCAGAGACAAAAATGTAAGATGTATGTAATCTCACTGAGATACAGAATATCTTCTCTTTGAGAAGACAGCAAATTCTTTCTACAGTAAAAGCTTTGTTATCCAGCATGTTGGGTGAATGGAGGGTGCCGGTTAATCAAAAATTCCAGTTAACTAAGAGTTATACTTACCAATGGAATACCAATTTTCAAAGAAATAGAATACAATAAAATGAATAAAGTATAAAATAGCATATGGGTACTCACCAATCCCGTAGTAGTACTGCACTGCCGAGGGGTTAGTTTTTTGAAGCACTAAGGTGTATACAGGTAAAGTTTTCTATACAGTAGGTTATCTTATGACACTACATATCACTATGGGCAGCACAAGGCCTACACCCAGATCACTAAAAATACACTTAACACTAAAACTAGACTGAACATAATTGAATCTTTCTTTGATGATTCAGAAGGCATTTCAGGAGCTTGCAGTGCCTCAGGGTCATCATTATCAACATCAATTATCACTGTAGATGTTGAAGGTGTAGGAGATATAGGGTCATTACAGATTCAGCCCAGACACACCCTGGAAGCTGCTTTTTTGAATAAATCCCTGATATCAACTTGCTTACTTGTCTTCTGCCTCTTTTGCATAAAAGTACAGTGCAGAATGTGCAATTGCATAACCTCCTGGGCAGTATACTAGTTCCAGTTACTAGATCGTATAGGGAGATATCAGACATGCTAATTAATAGAGCTTTCCATTTGATAAAGTGCCGGATAACACAGCTTTTACTGTATTTGTTTTGGAGTTCTGTAATATCTGCCAAGCAGCAAGGCAGACCCGCATTACCCAATGAGTCTATAACCAAATGATACGCAATCCCTTTCATTCTTTAACTGGGCTGGGCCACAAGGATGTGCTCACACTGAGATGTTCACTGTGAATCTCATTTGAACAAAGTAATCATCATGAGCAAAATTAACCTTTCTACCAACATCCCCAGTAACCATGGTGACAAGAGCTGAGGTTATTGTACTCTGGAGGCTCTACCATTTCGCAGTCTGTTTTATAATCACTTGGGGCAACATTCAGTCTGTGGATTCCATTTGAACGTCTCTTCTACAGAACTCAAGTGTCCCTATATGGAATGAGCTGTGAGACTCCAGAATTGTAGAATAAATACCAGAAATGTTTCCTTTTATATACAAAGTTTGTGAAGTTTTTGATTTAAAACTGATCTAAATATCACATAGACAACTTTCCTACGTAAACTTGGCAGTTAATTCTACTTCTAGGGCCAAAGGATCAAAACAACAGACGTAAGCAATAACACAAAAATTGGACAAGCTAATTTAATGTTTTGAGAGGATCAGTACATTGAAGATTGTTAGGCACTTTGAGAACTATTGATGAAAAGCACTATGTAAGAACTAGGTGATATCATCATTATTTAATTTTTGTTTGGTTTCGGGTTTTGTTTTTGACCTTTGGGCACTTAACACCATTATCCTTTGGTCTGCTTTGACTTCCCCACACCATACATGAATGAATTATTGGAATATGTATTCTACACAGTATTTTTGATACTACTTGCAAAAAATAATTATAAAAAATGGAGAAAAAATTCCAGGATACTTACTCCAGTACTGACTAGCGACAGCATAATTCTTTCATTTAAGGCTAATGTTTCTCCTTGCTTCATCTTGATCCTCTTCTTATCTAAACATTTCATTGCATACCTGAAAATATTAATAATTCAGAAAAGCATATTGGAAAAGGTCCCCCCCTCAATATTTTTCACCAACAATCCATGCCATCTATACAGATAAATATATTGACAGTATATTGAGCAGAGTCTTTAAAGACCTACATCTATATCAGAAGTCTCAAAATAGCATCTAGACAGATGGTATGACTATACTGAAATCCAAGGTGAGATTGCAGCTTGGATAAACATACCCGGGCTAACTTTACCCAGGCTAGCATGAATAACAATAGCAGATCGATGAGGTGGTGCGGGCTTCAGAGCAGACTAACATTGTGAGTAGGTACATGTTTGTACGGCCTGCACAGAAGTCTGTGCCACCATATCGACAGTGCTATTTTTGGTAATGCTGGCATGGCTAAAGCTAGAGCAAGTATGTCTACATGAGCTGCAATTGCACCTCAGAGTACAGTGTAAACATACCCCTAGAGAACTACTCCAACATCTTCCGAGCATTGACACATTATTTTCAATCTCCCAATAGAGAGGTTTTCCTAGGATACCTAAATAACAAAGTCTAAGGTGGCCAGCATCCAGACACCAGGGTGATCAGGGAATCATAAAAACACAGATTAGATAAAGATAACTGGAGTCCATTTTTCAATATCCGCAAACCAGGATTTGGAGTATGAGTTAACTGGAATATTTACATGGACCCTATTCTGATTCCATATGAATCTGTGCTTTCACCTCTACCCAGAAGAGGCCTGCTAGGTTCGGACATTTTTTTAAAAAGGAAAATGGTTTGTTTTCTACTACACAACAGATGGTCAGAGATACAAGAGAAGGCTTTTGTGTCTATCTTCTCCTACCATATATCATGACTGTATGGCATTTTTAGACATGGAACATGAATGTTCAATGTTTTAATGCAGAACAAGAGCACAATGACATGGATCCCAACAAGTCTACGAATCTGATAGCAATCTGCTAAAAACTGGCTTAAACTGGGACTAAGCACATTGTCAGTAGCACCACAGGTAAAAGGCTCAGGATGTTTGTCTGTAGAAATGCTCACACAGCCAACTCAGCAATTCCCAACACACTTAGGCAGCTCTTGTAATAAACTAAAAGGCAGTTACACCTCCTGATATGCCTGGAGCTCCTTTATGCCCAAGGTTTGTGCAAACCTGGTATCTCTGAAAAGTGGGTTCACCATATATATGAGACTAGATTCTGGTTTATCCAGCTCAGGTGTGCTGAGAGAGAGTGGGGGAAGAAGTAGGGAGCCCCTTCATTCCAAATTCCTCCCCTCCCCCCCCCCCCAGATGACCAAGGCAGAATGGTGACCCTAGTTCTCCAAGTACAAAGGGGTCTGGCTAACACATCCAGCAGTGTTCCATGTCTCCAAAGAGACATGGTCAACTGGACCAAGGGCATGAACGGGATCCTGCACCTTTTCCTCCATATGTCTGTCAGCATCTGTGCTAGGAGATCATATGTTGCATCTTTTACCATAAATGAGTTTCATTAAGCACAGTGTCTCTGCCCTGTCCCTCTACCTCCCACGCCCTTCAGTGCTCTTCCAGCATTCTCAGGGCAAACCAGGAGTGTGTCATTTAAAAATATTCTTTATAGAAGTGCCATACAAGTTACAGCATAATGTAAATGTTTATCAACAATCCAGAGTGTCCGTGCTCTGTGCAGACAGAAGGCCTCAAAGCAGCCCTGCTTTGCAACCACCACATACCATCAGTACTCCAGAGAACACCAGCAGAGCTGAGTCATGTGTATGGAGTACGCACATTTTACATTTCTAAGCCAGGAATGTGTATTTACCACAGATGCTCTTGTCCTTGGTTTCCGTGCTACATTAGGAAGTTTTTAAATTACTTCTAACACAGCCTTTTTAACATTAGCCCTTAATTGTCCCTTGGGGCTACTGACCTTGGTAAATGATCTGGGGTCAGATAAGGCTAGTTGATGTCAATATCTCACTTCGTCATTCTGATAGAGCACCACTATGTTCTCTTCTAAGATACGCTGCTTTTAACACTAAGTTGGCTTCTGTTTACACTGCTCTTGGAGGAGCTGCTTTGGGAGCAGCCTCAGGTGTCTGTTTCTGGGTTACTGGAACACCAATGGCATTTACCTTGGCGGGATGGCTTCTCAAAGTCCTTGCAGACAGATAAGTGCAGCAGAGGCAGCCATCTAGAGTGAATGGGATTTAGATTAGGGATGGGTGAACAGGTTTGGATAAAGTAAGAACTAACCCAAACCTCTACCCAAAAGATGAACCTAACCTAAAGCTTTACGTCAGGTTTGGAAAAGTTTGGCTGACTTTTCTGCTCCTACCCCCATTACCTTTCTCTATTCTCGTGCCTCTGCGCTTCAGGGAAACTGGGGGGAGGGAAAGGAAGGGGAGGGACATCTTTTGCTTCCCTTATTGGTTCTGAGTTCCTTAGTTTAGGCATTCAGGCTTCTTCAGAGAAAGCAACTGGGCAAATGTACTAACTCTATCTCTGAGGTGGAAGCCTATTTAGTGTGGCTTTTGTCCAAAAGAGATGGATATCATTTACATTTCTGTGCATGGCCTACAGACTACATGGCAGGCCCATTTTATAAATCTCAAACTAAAGAAGAATAAATCAATATGTGCACAAAAGTACTGCAACAGGAATGAAGATATAAATAGTATTATTGAAATAAATACTTGAGGTGAAAGTCACTGCAGAAAGATTAAACATGAAAGTCATTTCAAGGGACCCTTCACTTGTTAATAGCTCAGAGTCAGGATCTCAAAGGATTGAGCACCCACTACCACCACTGAACCCAATGGGAACCACAAATACTCAGCACCTCAGGTATCAGGAATGTTATGTTCAGATAGGTGGGAATCATCTAAGAAGGATCCCTGGGTTCAAGTGGGTAGGAGAGTAGGTAGCTAGAACCATGTGGAAAACCCATGCTATGTCCAGAAAATCAAAGATGACCATGTGATGGGAGAATTGGGCCTAATAGCCAGGGGTTTTTTATGCAGAAATTAGGAGCTGTGTGTGAGTGGCAGTGCCGGAGAAAGCAAAGGGTTTGATTTGGGAACTTGAACCCACAAATGTGTTTTAGCTGCAATTCTAACAATGGAGCACCAACTGTCAACTAGAAGAAACCATTGCTGCTGTTTTTTCCTTCAAACGCCCTGCTCAAGAGTGTAAATAGTTTTAATTAAATTGATTTAGGACACTGTATTCTTAAACTGCCCACACATCTCTATCCCAGGGCTCAATCCTGAAATGTGCTGAGCACTCCTGGCCCTGAGCCAGCAAAGTACTTAAGCACACCCTTCACTTTAAGCACATGAGAAGTCTCCTGTGACTTCAGAGGGACCATACGGGTGTTTTCAATAAGAATATGCTTAAGCGTTTTGCAAGACTGTGGCCTGAGTGTCCAGCATTTTGGAGGATCAAACTTCCAATGAGGCTTTAAGCCACTCCATAAATTCAAACTCTTTTTCAACTGACTGGACTCTAGGACAAAACTCTATTGCTCAATTTAATGATGCAATCTAAGCTGATCATTCCGCTCTGCAGAGATTTTGTAAAAAATTCAGAGATTTTTTTCCTTATATATTTAGAATTTATATTTATTATTAAAACACAGTATATGACTTACATTTTTCCAGTGTCTGCTTTTCTGCAACCATATACTTCACCAAATCCCCCTCGCCCAATTATTCTGTGTACACTAAAGTCATTCATGGTCAGCTGTGAATTCAAAACATACAAATTTCATTTTCCAATGCCCAGAACCTTTCCCCTTTAGAATCTCTAAATTCATTTGACATGAATGTATGGAAGTGGATATTTGTTCTTTATTTTGTAGATGGATGGTTTCTCTACCTGTTTTCAGAAAGTATCTCTCTTATCGTTTATGCTTCCCTATGTCTGCAAGCACTAGAATCGGGGGCGGTCAGAGAGATGGTATTTACAACAACCATGATGGCAGGAGATGAAGGCATGGCTGAGGATTTCACTGGCGATGAATCCAAGACAGCAGCTTACATGAGCAACATTGTCTTGCAGACAAAGAAATTGTGGGAGTAAAACACTTTAGGACTAAGGGATGAGGCCAAGAATATACCAAATGGAGGCAAGTAGGTCTGACTTTTGAAGGGAAAAAACAGAGCGAGACAGAATAGTACTTGGGTTGGCTTCTCTTGCTGAAAAGTAGTGCTCAAACAATCTGTTTCCTGTACCTACCTATTTCAAAACCACAAGGCGATTAAGTCACATTTATAATATATGGAGATATTCCTATCTCATAGAACTGGAAGGGACCTTGAAAGGTCATTGAGTCCAGCCCCCTGCCTTCACTAGCAGGACCAAGTAATGATTTTGCCCCAGATCCCTAGGTGGCCACCTCAAGGACTGAACTCACAACCCTGGGTTTAGCAGGCCAATACTCAAACCACTGAGCTATGCCTCCCCCACAACAGGCAGAGAGGGTAGCCAGGGAGGAATCATTAATGGTGCTAGGAGGTTATGTACATCTATGAATAGAACAGCATATCAGAATAATACTCATTGTTCTTCCTACTAAGGCCTTTTAAGGAGAAGTATTCTTTAAAATCTAACACATTTTCTTTCCTACATCGACTTTTGACAAGATAAATGTAATTACTTACATGAATATTTAGTTCTACATTTTTCCATTGACAAAATCTAGTAAACTTGTCACTGTTAAAAAAAAAGTTTAAAAAGTTAAGTTAAAAGGTTATCCAACAGAATTACAGAAAGTATTGTGAAAAATGCCAAGTACTCTAGTTTTGAAAATTAAATTCAGCACAAGATAATTTATGAAGATTAAAATTGCCATTTAAAAAAAATTCATTGATTAGCCATCTTTTATGCTTATTTTAATTTAGCATGTTTCTTAGCAACTCACTCTCAATATGTTTTGTTTAATAACAAGTTATAAAATATATCTGATTATTTTCTCTCTTCAGTTACGAATGCATCCATATTTATTTACATAATTTCCTTTAGACCCTGTTTCTAACGGTCAATTTTCAGGAAATGTAAAAAAATATTTCAACTGTATCACAAGCAAGATAATTAAATTGGAAAGTATGCAATGTAACTTCAAATTTTAATTAACCTTAATATACACCAAGGAATAATGTAAACCTATTTGATCCTGAAATAAAGATGTCAATACTATTGAAAGTTGTTACAAGATAATTGTCTTCTGCTGCTATATCAGTTATAAGATGTTTATTTTCAGGGTAGGAAAAACTGATCTTTTGCGGACATTATTTTGGCTACATAATCGGATCTATCATTTGTCAGCAGTAGATTGGGGTCAAATCCTGTGCGCTTTACTCCCACCAGTAGTCTCATTAAGGTCAATAGCACTATTCAGATCTGTAAAATTAACCGGATTTGCCATCTTACATTTCCTTACAGGACAGTTACTGTTTAGTTGTAAACCTTTTGGGCTACATACTAGAATTGCTGTATAGCTCACCCCCATAATACTGTAGTTTATTTGTAGGAGTATCACCCAAATGAATGGAGTTAGAGACTTTCAGACTTTTAAAAGATCAAACTGTAAGAAGTCCATTATTACTGTTACGTGGTGCAGTGGAGTGGTCCACTAACTGTGTGATCTGAGCGTCCTTACAAGTTCTGTCACAACTACACTGCATACAATACTGGGATATCCTGATACTTAACATGATATATGTATCAAGGCTAGTTCTTTGGAAAAGCTTGCTGATAATACACTATTAATTAACTAAACAATTCTAGCCTTATTTTGCAATAATACTCAAGGGACCAGTCTAACTGCAGGAGATTACACAGTAGTTCATATAGTATGTAGATTCATACCTTTCCATAAATTTTTGAAATATTTTTCCTCGGAGACTATCACAAATTTCTTCTATGTATGGCTAAAAAAGATAAAAAATTGTATTTAACTTTTCGGTGTGTGATAACCTGAACATGCAATATTGTCCAGTGAAAATAAACTACGTGTTTAGGCTCCAGCATTTACCGCCCACTGGCAAGAACAACTGTGTTGAGCAGAGTAACTGCAATATTTTGTGGTGACTTTCTTGGCTTATGGCCTGATCCAGCAAAGAACTTCAGCATGGCCTTGACTTTAAGAACCTGTGTAGTTGCACTGAAGATAAGCATTTGCTCAAGTGCTTTTCTGAATCAGCGGCCTTAGCATTTTCCTGGGAGGGATTGGAGAGAATTTTGCAGTCTTTGCCCATGGGCCAACAACAGGAAATAAGCATTGAAACTTTATGGATTAATCACCAGAATTATCAGGCTGAAAACACTGCTTCTCATTTATTTAAATTAAAAAACAATTTAGAATTTATGGTGAAGGCTGTGAAACTCAAAGACCAGCCAGCACAGGAACACCAAGATAATCTTTCCTTATTAGTGCTTCTCTCTTCCCTCTCCTTTATTTCCTCTACCTTACTACCAACAGCTTTAATTCACAAGTGGCATATTTGAAAGAGGAGCACCGTTACTTGGTTTGACATAGTGTGCAATGATTTCAAATCCCAACTCAATTAGCAAGGGTTACATGAGATCCAAATCAGGCAATATAGATACCACTTTGTCAATCTCTCTGGTTCTAACATCAAAGACAATCCACTGACACAGTAAGACTATCAAGCAGGTTTAATATAACAGTACTTTAAATGCTACAGTAAATGCAATTACTATAAAAGTACAGCAAATTAATTTAAACCTGCAGTCACTGCCACATCACATAGGTTCATATTAACAAAAAGCAAGGACATTCAACATTAAAGCAAAAATTCCATCTTTAATTTGTCTTATTATGTGAACTAACAACTTCAATTTGAATTTCCTTGCTTAGGTCAGTTGTGTTAGAACTGTAATTATATAGAAATACTTATTTCACCTTCAATTTGTTTGAATAAGTAAAAAATATAAAAGGTGCACTTTTTAAACCAATAAACCAAAATCCATTATTTACTTTGGTGCTAAATTTGTGGACATAGAAATCCTGTAATTCTAAAATCCTAAAACATTTATAGTGTTTTATAGAAAGGTACTCTAATTTCTGAGGAGAAGTAGCCATTTTTCGGAATGTAATTTTCCACTGTATTTAGAATAATGAAAGAACTATAAGTTGACACCAACACCTAAAACCCCCATGTGAAACTGCAATATTGCTAACTCCAGCCATGTACTCAGACCTCAAAAATATGGTGCTATATAATATAAGTTAGCTAGAGGCAAAAGGAAGGATCCACTAAACAGAAAGGTATGTGCATTGCTATGCTTTTATATTTCTGAAACATTACGTTGAATTCTGTACTTCACCACCTGATTTATGTTGAAAGGAAGCATAAGGTCCTGATGTAAAAGGGATTTATTCTACACTATATTTAAAAAATGTAATTTACCAGTGGTTGGCAAAGCAACTATAACCCACTTTCACTTAGAGTGTCTATGTGAAATTCCTCACACTCTGCTAATCGGGTTACCTAGAATGCACTTGGAACCAGCATATGAAAGCATAGATCCAAGTGGACTGTGACCTGAATTTCTAGGACAGTGTGTGAAAAAGCAACACCAGCAAGTGGTTAACGGAAACTGGGTACATATTTTTCATTGAATTTCTTCTATTTTGAATGAAAGTTTCACAGTTATCTAAGGAAGCCCTCAGTGAGAGAAACTAAGGGCTAAGTCCTGCAAGGTGCTGAGCACTCTGACCCCAAACCAGAAAAACACTTAAGTACATGCTTAACTTTAATGCCCTTATGTATTCCCATTCCCTACTCACATGCTTACACTCAAGAGCCTCCTTAAATGCTTTCCTGGACTAGGACCAGCACTCTCAGCACCTTGCTGATTAATAGTCACAGGTGGGGAGATGGACTGACTCATGCCCAAACTCTGACTGCCCAAGGTGACTCTCTCCTCACAAGCCCCCAAGGGATGAGGATTTCTTTCAAACACTGCTAGTCTGCTGGGATACTCCTCAACCATAGGCATAAAAACCACTGATCTCACCAAAAAAGATCTATCTGTAATCATTGTTCATTCTAAGAAGTTTCCCATATGATTTTGGAGGAAAGCAAGAATAAAATGTTAATATTAGACCCCTTCAGTCAGTAAAGTTATAGAACAGTTAGTAATCTGTTTTCAAAAATGTACTCAGAGACTCCTCTGGCTAAAGAAGACTAATCCACGATTTTTATGATCTTTAAAAAGACAATGAAATTAGATTATCTGATTATTATATACAGAAATCTTTCCCTGTATCATTTTGTTTTCATCGACTTCTGACATACAGTATCAAATTCTTGTCATAACTGTAATTATAATATGTACATAAAGGAGGTTTCCTGAATTTGCTTACATTCAAATAATTAAATAAAACCTGGACATTCTGAGTGCTTTCATCTCACCTGAAAAAGACTTGGTGGCACTTGTTTCTTGGCAAGGTGTGTTTGTACATGATCTACAGCTTTCTTTGAGAATGGCTTTGGAAAAATAAAAAGTAAGATTTTAGACAAATAGCTGGAAAAGAGATATGTAAGTTCTCAATTATTGAGGTCACAATACCAGTTTTCAACTAAAAAGGAATGTTGCTTATATGAAAAATACACAAACTTCAAAATGAATGTAACTTAGTGTCCATTAAACATCCTGTTGCATAACACTTTGAAAGTTATGACAATCCCTACTTCTAAGCTAAAAAAATCACAGACCATCCCATGCATGGTGGAGACCATCCATCAAGTAATTGCAAGGCACCAGGAACACAGAACACATGAAACCACCAACTGCTTCTTTGTAGTCCCACAAGTCTTAAGAAAAATGTACACTTACATCCCAATCCTGCACATGTGTACATGTTTACCTTCAAAGGCACGAGTGTTCCCATTCACTTCAACAGAATTATGTGTAAAGTGAAGCACGGGTATAAGCACTTGCAGATTCAAGGTCTTAAATAACAGGATAAATTTCTCTCTGGCTCAAATCATGTCATTATTGTAGATTATCCACCCTTTCAAATAGGGCTACGCTATACAATGAATAACAACTGAGTTAGTAGACACTGCTATCGTAATAGATACTGCTATTGTCACACCTTGAGCAGTGTTTTGTGTAATTCCCTGTCAGACTTTCATCTACTCACTATCCTTCCATTATTAAACATTTTAAAGAATTTGAAGTCAAAGGAAATATTTAAATATTAAAATTATAGAGTGAAACTTCAGTATACATACATGTGAGCAAGACAGCAGCTCTTTCATTATGTATGTGTCATAAATCTGCCGACTTCTGCTAAGACGTTCCTCCTCAGAATCCAGTTTTTCATATTCTTTTATCTGTAATATGAAAGAAAAGGAAACAGTCAATGAACCTATTTCTAAACCTTTACACTGTTTAAGGAAAGAAAGATTCTTCACTGTGGTAGAAACCTTATTTCCCTTCATCCCTTTCTCAGGACAGGGTTTGTGGAGGTGCTCGTTGCAATTCTACTTCTGGATTCCAATCCAAGAAGAGATTTGCTATCCCCCTGTAACTTTTGATTGGAGTAACCAATTTGATTGCAGACTGTGGTGCTTAAAATGCGGCATGAAGAATTTTGTTTGAAAATTTAAGAAGTTCTGGATTAAAAACATATGCACACTCCTTCCTAAACCATTAGCTGGGCTGTAAATTGTGCGAAGATGATCATGGAACTGATGGACTTGGCGGTTGGGGTGGGACAGGCAGAGGAGTATGTATCAGATTGACCCTTTTTGAGGAGGCCTTCTTTGTCCTTCTCCACCCAGTGAGACGCACCAACATGGGTTCTCCTACAATGATGAATGCTGATCCCCACTTTCTGAAATGTATTTGGAGCATATGCATAAAGCAGAACCAGCAGCCTGGAAGCCAAATGAGCAACATTGTTTATGCTGTAGGCCTTAGCAGTAGCACTTTAATATTATATGTACTGTATACATTCAAATACACACACCACCTATAAGTAAGAAGTGCCACAAAACAAAGGAGACTAGAGATGGAGTTTGTAAGTGATGAGATCATCTTGTCTAATAAAGATCTCTAACTAGAAATAGTGATATTGGACATGTCAGAGTTCATACATAGCTCGGCTGTAACTCTAAAGAAAATTAACTTTTAATTTTATGCCAGAGTCCTGAGTGCAAGTACGGAGAGAACTGGATAAAACACATTAGGGGTTCAACTGGTTTAATATGGATAACAAGTGCACTCCCTGTTATGACTGTAGTATAACTGTAATCCTATTTTACAGTCCTTGCAATCCCATTTTTACAGACTAGAACTACTGTGCTATTTTTGAAACAGTTGTGATTTCCTAGTGTTTGTTAGCAGACTGGGGTTTGGGGCAGCATCCAGGCCTCTCAATGGGCTGAGCTGAATCAGTTATATGAATTTCTAATCAGTTACCATGGAAAAAAGACTTCTGCTGTGTCTACATAAGCTTTTTTAAATACTGAGAGTGGAAAACAACTTTGTATGACGAAGAGGCTACTGCACTGACCTTCTCTTAAGAGGAGATACTGTATTATTGATATCTGCTGGGAAAAATGACCTATTTCAGGAATTTCCAGTGGCCCCTTCACAGAAGGATCTTGATTTTGATCTTGTTTACTATAGACCACTACACCAACAGTTGCAATGGAAATTTAACCACATTAAATCTGTAGTTAGAACAACAGAATTTAGGTTAAGATATTTGAGAATACTGTAAGAAAATATAAAAATATAAGAATGACTGGTTTACAAATTCGCTGCAATTTCTACAACTTTTGTTTAGTGAGTAAGCAGCATTAAGAACAGGAGTACTTGTGGCACCTTAGAGACTAAC